CCCCAAAACCCCAAAACCCCAAAACCCCAAAACCCCGTGTTTAGAAATAATTTTTGAAAACTGATAAAATGGAAGATATAATCAATTATGAGATTAAAAGGTATTTCACAGGCTTTCTGAACCGTTCAAAAACTCAATTATAGCCATGATAGTCTAAGTGAGGTACAAAATTTTGAAGAGACATTATTAAGCGAAGAATATAATTTAGTCCAATCAAATCAAATTTTAAGTAATTTGGATAAAGAATCAAGCACGAGATTTTCACTACGACCAATTAATTCTATTATTAATTATGACTCTCAAGAATATATTGATACTAGGAGAAAGCATTTAATATTATGTAATCTTAGTTCTTATCAAATTATAAAATGATATATCAGCCAAAAAGATTTTCGCAAGTATTTTCTCAGGTTCTTTCAGCAAATTATGCATAATGGTTTTCAAAAAATTGTGATATCTTCGAAAGATCATTCGAGGATATTAAACATTTCAAAATTGATATCTCCCACAATCAGAATTCTATCAGGCATCAGTAAATGTGCCTACTTTTCTCAGATCAAAATCGGACCCAAACATATGAAGAGAATCTTTTTCTGCACTAAAAACATTCAAACAGTTTGCTTCGTTGGCTGACTTATTTACCCATTCAAGTTAAAAATCCCTCCATCAACAACATTCACAACAAAGAAATACTCCTTTATCGCAACACTCGACTCAGAGAACTCAACTCTCGCCAATAGCCCAAAAATCCTAACCTGCATTGCTAACTTTCTCAGCCAGACTAACCCATCTCCCCTTTGAGAACTATCCATCGGAACAAACATCCCCACCAAAACCAGACTCCAAATAAAATCCATTCTTCCCAACATCACCCTTCTTTTCACTTAAAAACCCTCCACATCTCCATTTCCCTCCCCCTTCTTCACCCAGTTCAAAATTCCCTAAATTCCCCCACTTTCCTAAATCCACCACTAATTTTCAGGTTTTCAATTATTTAAATCTCAAGAGGGGTTTTGGGGTTTTGGGGTTTTGGGGTTTTGGGGTTTTGGGGTTTTGGGG